TACACACACAGCCTCTCACGAATATGCGTTTTTGCAATTGGCATTTATGCAAAAACTCATAAAAACGGCCGGGCTTCATGCAAACCCAGGCCGGAACGCAACAACCTTGCCGATGCGGTCATGCTTTTTGGGCAAATACTCACGCGTTTTTGCACCAAACTTGAATTAATTAGGTTAACTGCATGAATGGTTGTTACTTCACACCTTGCTTGTGCACTTAATACCGTAAAAAGTCGTAAATTTTGCATAAACGAAAATAAACAATTGCCGTTTAGTGGTCATTTTATATGCGTTTTTGCATATATGCAAACTGCGGGAGCGCACTTCAGGAATAGGCTGTCTGTATGCGTGTTCGCACTTTTTGTCACCCACTTTCAATTCGATACCAGAAACGCTAGAAGACTCGAACCTTGAGAGTATGTGCCCATATCATGCGCGACCCTCCCTTTTTATGCGTTTTTGCATAATATGCAAATGCCGGTGTGTGTGTGTGTGTGTGTATGTGTGTGTGTGTGTGCGTCTGTCCGGATATTTCAACTCGGCACCCAAGCAAGCTTCGGCGCCGAAAAAAAAGGTGGATTCCCCACCAAAGTGCCACCCCAGGACCGCGGTATCAACCCCCAAGCACGCCTAGGCCCCACGTACGAGGGGGTTAAAGTTTTGGCGGGAAAACCGCTAACTGGGAAACCAGAAAAGCTAGAAAGCTGAAATTTTGAGGTTATGTTCCCGGCCCCTATAGAACTTAAAGTTTTCAAATTCAGCCCCCCGGGGTCCGTGGTTCCCGCGTACGGCTCCCTGAGGGTTCCTGGCGCGAAAAGCGCTAGCTCGGGAACCAAGGAAGCTGGGAAGCTGAAATTTTCAGGAAATGTTCCCAACTTATCTGCAACTTCAATTTATCAAATTCAGCTCCCCGCCATGCGTAGTTGCAGCGTGCGGCCCCGTGAAAATTTTTGGCGGGAAAATGAATAACTCCAGAACCAGGGAAGCTGGGAGACTGGAGTTTCCAGGAAATGTTCCAAACTCATCTGCAACTCCAATTTATCAAATTCAGCCCCCCGTTATGCGTGGTGGCTACGCACGGCGCCATGAAATTTTTTGGCTGCAATTTGGGTAATTCGGGAACTAAGAAAGCTGGGAACTTGGGATTTCAAGAGGATGTTCCCTGTCCAACTATAGCGTAGATAATTAAGTTCCC